CGTACATACCAGGGACAGTTTGTGATCTGTCGAAGTACTCTATTTTGCAGTACTTGGATTTTTTATAGTTGGATTTGGCAGCAATCCCCCAAATCTGCACTCCATAAAGCCATATAGGCAAAATGCAATGAACGTATACCGCTCGTTTGCATCTTAGCGGCAATGTGCTTTCTTTTTTAGCTGAAGCTTGAACACCAGTATCTATTGCATTTTCATTCTGCGCTCATAAGTATGCAATACTTTTTATTAAACGCCTGTAACGCCTGTTTTATGTATTTCCGCATTACAGCGAGAAACTGATTCACTAATGGAAAATGATTCGCAATGGTAATGAAAAGCCAATATTTAGTAGTATTTTTTTAATGCAGACTTCGCTCAGTTTATATATTATTTAATTGTAATTTAATAGCTTTCACTGCTTATTTCGTTCCCAATATTAATTTTCAGTGCTCTCAAAAGTTATGCAACACTTTTTATACAGCAACTACTGCAGATACGCAGCCATAGTAAAGCGCATATTTCTTAACATCTTAAAATAAACCTCTTCTATCATAATTATTCACTAATCGAGCTGCCTCTGCTGCTTTGATTAAAATTTACGATTCTCACCCGAACGTATGCTGCTGTTTATGCAGTGAGCAAGTGCAGCAACCCAAACCCGAGTGCAGCTTGCAGCACAGCCACACTCCCGCTGCAAGCTGATGCAGTCTGCATTGCTCGGAGCTGTCACGTATACGAGACGTTGGCCATTTTAACGGTTTTGGCTTCCGCCATTTGGCTGAAAATTAAAAGCCTGGCCTGGCCTGGCCTGGCCAAATGTCAAATTACTCAAACTTGACTGGCAATCAAAACGAATCATAAAATGATTTCCGTGACTAACCGCGCGCGCCCGCCGCTGGGGTGTGGGTATCAAGTATTTCCTGCTCGCTAGCGCCCGCCTTTGTCTCACTCTCACTCTCTCTCTCTCAGCTATCTCTATCACACCTATTGCTTACGATTTGTGCCAAGGTTACGATAGTAAAACTAACGCTTTGACGACACTTTTGGCAGCGCTCACGTTTTATTTCATAGGTGTCAGCCGGGGAAATAACACCGACAACAATTAAAACAGGCAGTTATGTCGGTTAGTTGAGTTCGCAGAGCTAGCAGCGATTAGCTAATGCGCTCAATCAATACGCTCGAGCATGGCCCAATTGATTAACCATTTCAATTGCAAGAGGCAGCGCTAATTTTTGGCTTGACACTCTCGTTGCCTAATAAATAATTTACAATTTGCAATTTGCTTGCGCACATAAAAAGAATGGTATGCAACAGGGCATGCCTGACTAGCAGATTCCCTGCCGTTGGCCTCATAAGCAATCAGTTGCGCTGCTGGGACTCAGCAAGCCAGGCAATAAGACTCAAGGTTCTGCAAGAATTTCAATTGAAGCGGCTTGCCACTTGCTCTTCAAGTCACTTCCTTACTTGAAAATATAATTACAAGGTATTTGCGGGCTCAACGCACGTAAAATAGCGTAAAGCTATGCTGGTCGTAAACCACCCAGGGCGCATCTTATATAATACCCTTTAGACAACCGCCCAAGACCCAAAGTAAATATTTGCTTTGATTTAAGCGAAATGCCAAGTCATCCTCTGGCCAGCAGTTGAGGGCGAACGAGGGTCGGTCCGGGCCTGGACGAGGCGGGGCGGGACGGGGCGTGGTTCAGCCCAAACGAAACGAGTAAAAAAGTAAGCAGCAATAGTAGTAAAAGAAGAAGAAGAAGAAGTAACGTACGTGAGCCGAAAATGTAATGGAAAGTGTTATGCGAAAGACGTTGGTCCAAAGCGGCCAAAGCGAAATAGTAAACATCGAAAAGTAAACAACTCGCGCTGCTCGTAGCGAAGAAACGCCAGATGATAATGATGGTAAATAATAATTATGACGATGATGACACACAGTGCGAAGTGGTCAAAAGTGTCTGTGGTCAGTGCGGCTGCGAATTTAGGTCATTAATCGGCTGAGGGGCAATAATCTCTCTCTCTCTCTCTACAGGGAACGCAAAACTAATTGGCACATTTAGTTCTCTCTCTCTCTCTCTTGAAAGAGGCTGCTCGACAGGTAGTTGTGCGCGTCTCTCTCTCTCTCTCTTTTGGGGCGTGGTGAACGCATCTTCATGTTTTCTCTCTCTCTCTCTCTCTCTCACACACACACACACACTCGCTGTTTCTGTGAGGATCAACACGTAGCTGAAGTAAACACAATTTCAGAGACGACTTCACACAACGAGTTGCAACATCCATTTGCAGCAATTATAAGCAAATCTGACAAATTATGCGCATATAAGCGAAACTTGAATAGCTTTCCATATGAAAACACTGAAAATCTCTTCAAGAAACTTTTAAATCTAATTGACAATACGAGCCATTATGATGCGTGCTAGGCTGATTTCCATTGTTAAAGCTGTCAAAGTCATCTTTGAAACTGTTCAAGATAAGATATAATCAGTAAGAATATTGCAGTGGGGTATTTTTTTCTGCATAATACTCGTTGACAGTTCATAAGCAGTTAACTACATATTTTTTTGTGGAAAAAAGTCATAAATGAGTCTGGAGCTAGTTAAGCTTTTTAACATTATATATATGGTATACATTATAAGATGAGAGAGAAATAGATCATGCATCATACATAAATACAGGGTATTTCTGATTATATCATTCCAAGCTCAGTCCCCTAAGTCGAATCTCAATAATGTGCACTCCGCTAAATCGAAAATCGCGATAAATTGAAAAAAATTCTATTCCCTTGAAAAAAAAGTTGTATCGATAATTCTCGATAATTTCAATTTCTGTGTAATTTAAAAAAATGCTGATCCCCTTTCCATTTCGAATTATCGCGAGTCGACTGTATTTTGTATTCTGAGATGTCAACACAAGTATATTTTTAGGACTCTAGCACTTTCAGGACTTTTTATAGCAGATATAGAATTTTCCGAATAGCCACGCCCGAATTTTAAGGCTATTGCTTTAAAACAACTGTAATACGAATAATACGAGGTAAGGTAGGACAGCAAGATGAACATGGCACAAACCAATATACTCATTTACTTCGCGAATGAGTGTAAACAGCAATAAATGCTATAAAATATGGTGAGAAATGCAATATTCATAAGATTCGATCTCGATTAATCAATTTAGTTTTAATCTGAAGTGAAACATATAT